CTGCAACCTTCAGTGTTGTGGCTTTCTATCGTTACCTTAAATAATTATGTGAAGCCACCCGACGCCAAAGTGAATTTTGCGCGAATATGATGTATCACGAATCCGACCCCGACTATCCTGGGTTACCTCACCTTGAAACATTGACATGGCAAAATTTGACCTCAGCTGAGAGGGTTACCCAGTGTGGCAGACTGGGCTACCCACCTTGAAGGGTCACCCCTCCTATCATGTAAACGTGATCAAATTAAAATGAGAGATTATATGGACAGGCGGGTTAATACCCCCCTAAGTGGGTTACTATGCCTACTTGGGGTCCCCTTCCTCCATGTAAACAGACCCTAAAAGTTAGTCCGGCCCCCTTTCTACGGTTTCAGCAGTTAAACCATTCACCATTTATCATTTGAGTCAATCTTGTACCACTTGAGTCTCACTTTTAGGAATTGATAAGCTGTTATTATTTTTGGACATGAGTGCTTCAGTGCCAAATGTAGATAATATGTGATACAACAGACTCTTTTTCTTTCTTTTTTTTTCAAATTTCTTTTTTTCTGAAATTTTGTGTGTGAATCGCTATGCCATACGCTTTCTTTAGCTTAAAGTGACATGTAATAACAAGTAATACTTGATAAATAAGGCTTAAGCCACACAATAAGGCCTCCTCTATTTGAAATACATTAGAAAAGGAGAAGAGAACCCCAGAAGCTGAGTACTTGCAAGTTATGAAGCAAAGACGAGGCTATCTTAGAAATGACTTATGAAAATGTGGGCGGACTGTGGACTTGGTTTAAGGGCACAGTAATAATCGACTTAATTATACAATCAATAAGCTAATAATGGATGGGAATGCCAGATGTCCAAGTAAAATTGCTGTTTACAACTTGAGAAGAGTATTCTGAGTGATTTAAGGTATTAAATAACAATTTTCAATCAAAACACCACAGGGACCCCAGCAGGTGAAATTTACAATAATTAAATCCTGTTTAACACGCTTCAGTGGCATATTTGCATTGGGTACCCCCTCTA